CTCCCAGGGCTCCCACCTACACACACACACACACACACACACACACACACATACACTGACTGTATTGTATAGTGACAGACAGATAGGAAGTGTTTGCAACAATGTTTCAGTTGCTGCACAGTAATGTTATAATTTGGGGGAAAAGGCAACTGTGATCATTAACCTGCAAAGTTTACTTCTCCTGTGCATTAGCAGACTTCAGGGTGTGATCACCAGGGTGTGAACTACTACTCTTAATAATATATAGGATTTATATAATAGGACATGAGCTACCCTGAAAACATGGTTTGTGAAGTATCTAAAATATGAACTTAATATTAACTTCTGTATCTTCATTACCATGGATCATGTGTTAATATGGGCTTTTGTTGATGTATAATTCATGCATGATGGTGATTTCTCACTAATTCACTTTAATAAACATCTAAGTAGGCTATGCATGGTATTCTTTCCAATTTAATGAACATTCTCACTCTTGCCTTTATTCCTTTCTGTTTTGTAGTCAGAATCCTGTAAGTCACAGTCAGTAAAAAACAAGTGAGCATCCCCGAGAGCCATTGAATAGTTATATATAGCATATATACAAAACTCCACTAAACTATCTTCCTGTTATCGCCATACAGAAGTTATGAGTCATGAAAAAGCTAAAAGAATATATATATTTAGTGTAATTGATGTGCTTGCCTACACTCGTTCATTGCTGACTCATACTTTTCTTTTAAGCTGTTTTCAAAATGCTAGTTGTTTTTTCACTGTATTTTCTGTTCATTCATGTTCATTCATGTTTTTTTTTTTTGGTAAAGTAAGTTAGGAGCTGTTATGATCAGCCTAGCACCCAGTTGTGTCTCAAGTTTGATTCGAACAAATGTTTATCTATATAACAAATAGCTCAAGATAAAGTTATTATAAGATTGTGTATTGTCCCAGACCGAATTGCTGCCCACAAATATTTTTAGCATTTAAATTATAGTAAAAAAAAATTAATAGCCAGTGTATAACACAAGTTTAAACTGGCTATTTTTAAAGATAAAACTGTTGTTTTTTGAGTTGCACTGAGTTGCCAGGGGTCTTAGTTTATTAGATACACCCAGCTACATCTACTCTTTCTGCAGTTTAGTGCAGCCGTTCCCAAACTCTTTGGGTTGGGGGTGGTTGGGCAGCAGGGTTAAGCACTCCCACAATCTTTTGAGTGTCAAACACAGGCTTAATTAATAACATTATGAACTGCTGCATTGCATTAATTGGTTGAATGGAGGCATTATGATTGTGATTGTGCTTGTCCTGCTATTTCACATGGGATTAAAGTTCTCTTGTGCTAGTAAGGCCATCAACATCAAGATTGTATAATTTTATGATTTATATATCATACCTAATAATAAACTGCCTAGTTATTGGATGTGTTTATATTTTGCAGGGGGAGACGAGCATATCTAACCCTAACTCCTCATTACTGGATATCTACAGTTCCTGGTTAAAGTGAGTGTGATCTTTCAATCCTTTGCAGAAATGAAACACCTTGATTGGACTTTGTTGGTAGTGATGACATGTGTGCTAAGTATTGTCTCTATTCCTGTCAGGGACGGGAAAAAGAAAAGGCAGCCTGGCTCGGCCAACACTCCAGCTAAGGGTATACGACTGTTTGTTTGTTTCTTAAAACCTCAAATACGCAACATGGACAGGATCTAACACATCTTCTACCCACTTTTTATGTCCAGCCACGGCAAGGAAAAAGAAGGATAAACCTGCAAAAAAATCAGAAACACCAAAAAAGAAGGTCAGTTTTTTTTTATTTAGTTTTAATTTTTTAATGCAGAAGTTCACCTACTGGTTCAAAGGCCGGTCCTGGTTATTAAGTGGGCTGTTCATTCTTTTCTTTTTCAGTCTGTGCCAGCGAAAAGGAAAAAAAGTGAAGTTAAGCCTGCAAAAAATGCGAAGAAATCAAAGACCCAAACAACTGCTGGAGGAGATGATTCAGACTCTGACAGCAGTTTGGATGTAGAGAAATGGAAGAAACTGGTCCTGCAAATGACAGGTAGGTGTGTGCGTGAAAGAAAGAGTCACGGAGATCACTTGTGTGCAAGTATGCAAAAGATGAGGTGATGAGGAGAATCCCAGAAATATAAAGAAACAACTTACCATATTTTCCTTGTTACTCTGGGTGTTTTTCATCTGTCCAGATAGTTTTAGACTGATGGTGAGCTACAACCAGCACACTAGGGTTTGGAAGTGTTGTGAACAGCTTTACGGCACGAAATATTCTGCCAAAACACAACAAAGAAACTGTTTGCAGTGATAGCTGTGACTAACCATATCATTCTTTTAGAAACTTTTTCAATCATTATTTCTTAAAGGACCAGTGTGTAACATTTTTGAGGATCTGATGGCAGAAACTGAATATAATTGTAGGAGCCTATGCTTTGTGCCCAGGTTGTCTATAATAGCAGAGATGTTTTGGCCTCTATTCCCAAAGAAGACAGAGCAAAGGAAATAAAAAGCCTAGACTTAGACTCTGATGACCTTCTTATTGAAAGCGCTCTTGGAATCCAGTGGTCAGTGAAGTTCACATTTCAGGTTTCACTGAAGAAACGAGATGCACTAGAAGAGGCATTTTGTCTGTTGTAAGTTCAGTGTATGATCCTCTAGGATTTATTGCACTATTCATTTTCAATGCAAAGCGCATTTTGCAAGTAGTTGTGTTAAACCACCAAACTTCGGCAAGATAAAATTGTACCATTGTGGTGATACAAGTAAAAATATAAATGGTTGTGTTCTTGTTACCTTAAAATTAGCTGTTTTTATCTACAGAGCAGCAGGTCCTCTTCTACAGAGGCCGCCATGTTGAACTGCCATGTTTTACATTAGTCCACAATGGACAAACCACTAAATCCTACACACTGGACCTTTAACACTTTCTGCTACTGCTAATATGTGACAGAATTTAGATCAGATATAAGACTCCAAGTTAGGAGTGTTGGAGGTTTTCACATTGGAGCAGACAGTGACGGGTAAAGATGTGTGGAGAAAGTTAAGAGGATTGGAAAATGCTGGAAATGTTGGGAGATGAAAAGAGAGGGAGAACTGGGTCCTTTCACTTAAAGTGAGAAAGACAGCCACTAGGCAGGACAGCACCACCCACGATGAACAACCTCACCATGGAAAACCGTGATTTCATACAAACAGAGCTATGTACAGTAGCTGTGTGGTTGCCATTGATGTTTTGTTTTTCTTTTAAATGTTTGTGCCAACTAGCCAGCCATGTTTGTTCAGCGTCTTCACCGTTTTTACTCTGTTCACAGAGGCTGACGTAGCCAAGATGGACACCATCGATGCTCTGGACTCCTCTGCGCCACCGCCCGCGAAAAAAAGAGTGAGGAAACCCCGGGCTAAGCCTGCCGCAAAGACAGACACTCCTGTTAAACAGAAAAGGGCAACGGCTGCAAAGAAAGGAAAAGTGGAGGAGAAAACCATGACGGAAACACCAACAAAGACTGCTAGACCTAAGAAGAGCATGCCAGAAAAGACGGCACCTGTGACCTCCTCGGCCACCCCGAGCCAAGAGCAAAACATCAACACTGTAGAGGAAAGACCAGCTGTCTCCCCATCAAAACAAACACCAACGAAAGAGAAAAGGAAAGCTGTGACTCCCAGTGAAGACAGAACTGATGAGACCTCGTCTGAGCCCAAGAAAAAGAAGAAGAAAAAGGAGACGACTGAAGAGAAGGTGGAAGAAAACACAAATGAAACTGGTGATGTTGGAAAAGGCAAAGAGGAAGAGAAAAAGAAGGATGACATCACAGTGTTTGGTGATAAACCTGCGGAGGACAAGAAAAGGACAAGAAAAGGGTCAAAAGGAGATGGCAAGCAGAATGAGACTGAAGAAGAAATGATAGAGAAAAACAACATTGGGAACGTTGATAACAAAGATATTACAGAGCCAATAGTGCCCGAAAAGAAATCCAAGAAGAAGATAAAGGATAAAACTGATGGTGAGGAAAATTCAGAGCAGATAGTGGAAGAAAAGAAAGCAAAGAAGAAAAAGAAACCTGACAGCGAGGAAAAATCAGAGCAGAAAGTCGAAGAAGACAAAGAAGATTCAGCAGAGCAGATAGCTGAAAACGTAACAGAAAATACAGAGCCAGTAGTTGAGAGAAAGAAATCAAAGAAAAAGAAAAAGGAGAAAACTTGTGGTGAAGAAAATTCCGAGCAAACAGCTGAAGAAAAGAAAATAAAGAAGAAAAAAAAGACAGCTGATAGTGAGGAAAATTTAGAGCAGGTGGCTGAACCAGTTGAAGAAAATACAGAGCAGATAGTTGAAGAAAAGAAAGTAAAGAAGAAGAAAAAGACAGCTGATAGTGAGGAAAATTTAGAGCAGGTGGCTGAACCGATCGAAGAAAATACAGAGCAGATAGTTGAAGAAAAGAAAGCAAAGAAAAAGAAAAAGGAGAAAACTGATTGTGAGGAAAGTTCAGAGGAAACCGTAAAAGAAAAGAAAAAGAAAAAAAAGGACAAAGCCGATCATAATGAGGAGACGTCGGAACAGGTGGAAGAAAACGCGACGACAAATAAACCCGAGAGCAGTGACGGAGAAGAAAAGCCGGAGCAGGTTACTGAAGTGAAAAAGAAAAAGAAGAAAAAGGACTCATCATTGAAAAATGATTCAGTTGATACAGAACCACTACCTCCACCTGACACACCGACTCCTCAGACAGAGAAGAAGAAAAGTGAGTGGATCAGTAACACCAGACGTGTGAAAAAAATGTGTTTTTGTGAGCATTTATAATTGTTTGTCTGTCATTCTCTCAGAGAAAATCAAGTTGAAATCTGATGACATCTCAGAAACATCAGCAGTTTCTGCCCAAGACGCCACGGCAACAGAAACCCTCCAAACACCCTCAAGTGACGCCCAGAAAAAGGTGTCGCAGCACTGTACTCTCAAGTTCAACGTCTCCCAGAGCGATCATGTCACTGTTGTCAATTCATTTTAGTGTGTTATTCATTTTAGTGCGAGAGGATCATTCTTCAGTTACTCAGATCTCTTTTTTAAGTTTACTAATTCTTCTGTAATTCTCCACAGAAAAAGAAATCCTCCAAGAGCACCGAGTCATGAAGACGCCGAACCGAAGGATGAAGACAACGCATCCTTTTTCCATCCGATGTCGAATCATATTTTAATGGTTACAAAGATCGCTTAAAACTGTAAAGAGAAAATTACTTTTTTATTTTGGTACTTTCAACTTTTTCATTTGTTTTATGTTTTTACTCTTTTACTATGCCACAGCTGTTATTTTTTTATTTTATATGATATTGCCATTTTAATGGCATGAATATGTAAAAGGGATTTTTACCTGATTGTTTGATGGATGGATGATCCCTCTCATGATATTTCTCTTCAAAGGGTAATTCCGTCATTAATTGAAAAGAAAAATGTCTCTCTTGAACACATTTCAAATTTCATAAACACTTACAGTCTCAGGAATTCATCCCACGATAGTCCGACATCTTAAAGGTCCAGTGTGTAGGATTTTTGGCATCTAGCAGTGTAGTTGTAGCTTTAAACTCCCTCGCTTCATCAACCCTTTCCAAGTGCCCTATCTAGAGCCAGTGTTTGTCGATACTGTAGAAATATGGCCGTTCAACATGACGGCCTTCTCGGAAGGCAACGTGAAACATCTATAGATAAAAACTCATTCTAAAGTAACAAAAACTCATTTTCAGCAGATTGTATAGTAATGAAAACATTAGTATTAATATAGTATAGCCTACTATTCTGCTATTAGATCCTCATAAATGTTACAAACTGGACCTTTATTTGTTTTCAGTATACGCCTCCTAACTCCACTCTTCTGGAGAGAAAAAAACAAATAGTTTTATATTTATTCAATAAATAATGGGAAACAGTTTTAAACACCTATTTTGGCATTGGGTCAAAGTCCTATGGTTGTGAAAAAATGTTTTTTTAAATAAAAGTTTAAAATGTTTGATAAATATTTGATATATGCATTGTAAATTGTGCTTTTAATACAAATTAAACCATAGTTTTTTGTAAATCCTGCCCGTCTTAAGTTAATTGCTGTGTTGTCAGACCGGATGTGTCCTATAGAGGGCGCTGCAGTAGCTGGCTGCGGACGGACAAACACCACCGAAGAAGAATTTCAACATGACAGTATGGTGCCGATGTCGCCCACTGTGAAATAATCACCCAGTGTTCAGCGAGTAGTTTGAAGTGTTACATTAAGTGACATTAAAATAATCTAAATGTGGAGGTTAAACAAAGTTCGCCACAAAGCTGCGCGACAGGGCGACAGCGAGCTGCGGTTGAAGAGGCGAGAGCGCGAGAAAGGTGAGTTGTTCTGACGTTAAAATTCAAATAATGGAGCGTTGACGTCGAACTTTAGTGCGTATTATTAACGTATTTTAACGTAATGTAACGGCTGTTAACGGCTGTTCGTTAACCTTCCAACAGTTTAGTAATTTACAAGAAAAATAACGACACCTAACGTCTGTTTGTTTATTTGTTCCCTGTTAGCTGTGCCCTAAAGCAGCAGTTACCAACCTTTTACTTTCAATTTAATATTATATTCAACAATAAAAAATGATGAACTGTAATGTTGCAATGAACCAACGTCAGATCCATCAGATTATTTCCTGTGAATATTGATCAGAGATTAGTTTTCCTCATGTATTATTAGTGAAGGTTGGGAACCGCCGCCCTAAAGCACAGCTAGTCTTCAATATAGCTTCATACATAAATGTCAAATGATTTAACTAGCTTGCTTAGATAACAAATATAATATACCAGTCACTTAAAAAATGCATCCAGTTGACCTACATATCACATCACACCTAGCTAACGTTATGTCTTCATTTAGGTAACTTCATCTAATGTTTCTTAACCCCATAAACAGGATGTGAGAGGTTCCTGTATAGTTAGATAAAGATTTAAATGAACAAGCATGCAGTGTATATCTACCCAGAGCAACCTGACTTCATTCAGTGCAAAGATATCGACCATGTCACTTGCTATCTTTTCTTAAGTAACATTTTAATATAAAATAAAGGATAGTGTTAATGGTCTCTAAGAAATACAATCCTTGTAATGTTACACGAGCTGGTAGCATGGGGCCATTGAGTTTTATAATATTTCACAGCTTTCAAGACAAGACAACAACACACTATCTACATAATCGTACAGAGAAAAATCCAAGTTAATATCTAGTTAAGTAGAAAGTGATGTGATATTTGTCTGTGTTGACTGCCACAGCACTGAGACAGGCCCGCAGAGACAGACAGCTTGTGAGCAAGAGACTCGTGCTGAATGAAGATGAGGAGCAGCCAGAGGTCACCATGGACACTACCTCAGGGGAACAGGTGAGTCAGGCGTTGAGAAAGGTCATGTTTTTGGCAGGTCTTCTTGTAAAACATGCCACCTGAATGTGCTCTTCATTCCCCCAGGACGTGCTCAGTTTGTTCCTCAGACTTCAACACGCCGGGCCGGAGAGGGAGACCCACCTGAAAGCGTTGAGTAAAGCTCTCCGCGACCCATCGGCACAGCTCACCTTCATCAAGTACGGTGGAAACGTGGACTTTAAATAACGTTACGGCTATTTGTATCTCTGATTCTCATGTTTCAATCCGTCTTCCTTCTAGGCAGGAGAATAGCATGCATCTTCTGGTTGGTCTCCTCACCGGCTCTGATGCTACGTGCCGTCTGCAGGCCGTTCGGTGTCTTCATGAGCTGTCTCACTCCGCCCACACCAATGTGGCACCGGCCTGTCTGCCTGCCACCCCTTACCTGCTCACCTATCTGTCCGGCCAGAGCACCAAGTTCACTGTGAATACCCGCTCATACCAGGCAGTGTGTATTATTATCACCTAATTATCCAGGAGATGTTTTGACTCTCCATGTGTGTATGTTCATGTGTCTGCAGGAGCTGTGTCTCTACACACTGGGTAACTTATGTCCAGACAGTGATGTGGTAAAAGAGAAACTCCTGGCGCAGGGAATCATACCGGCTCTGGCCAACTGTATAGAGGTAAAGACTCACACCCCAGCCGCACAAACATCTTTATTTTGCCTTGTTGAAATGTCAAATAATTTAGAAACTGAATCACATTCGAATTTCCCACATAACCTTACACACTGAAACATGTTTTTTGAGTTATAAACTAAATTATATGACTGTAATGTTAAAGTTAATGTGATGAAACACATCCGTGCTGTTACAAATGTTGACAAATTTAACACAACTGGCATCACATAGGTTGAAAGTGGCTCTGAACCTTCTAAGGCCAATGCTGACATTAAGTTTACCGTTTTGGGACTACTGCTAGAGGAGAGTGGCACACCTCGAGCAGAAATTAGGTGTGTACTTACACTTTAAATGTAGTAATGCTAACATGTCTCTCTTGGTGTTTTCTGCCTGTGTCCAGAACCAGAGACACAACCTTGCGGTGGTGGAAGCTGTGGGCTTCACCCTCTCTCAGCTTCTCCAGTCCAAAGATGCAGCAGATAAAATAATCCCGTAAGCACCCTGACGACACCATTCCCTCTATGAAACACTGTTAGTTATATAATACTCTTCATCTGTGTCTGCAGGATGATCCTGGCCTCCAGCTTGCCTTCACACTTGTTATCCGTCCTGACCCCTGACCCAAAGTTTGGCCTGGCACCTGCCATAGAGTGTGCCTGGTGTCTGCACTACCTCACATGCAGGTGAGAGCTGAAGGTATCCTCCGCAGGTGTCTGAAGTCTGTTCTATTTACTTTTGCTTCGTGTCTCGTAGTAAGAGAAGATACGCTTTCTGCCTTTATCTCACTCCATAGCATCGAGGATAACACGGTGGTGTTGGCTCATGGGGCTCTGTTGAAGTGCAGTTCCCTGTTAGTATCGCTTGGTGGCGCTGTCGCAGAAGGAAACAAAGAAGAAGGAATGGAGCTGGTAAGGACATTAATGGATCAGCAGAGGGTGCTGTCTGTTTTTGACTGTGCTTGTTCAGCTTCCTTTGTCACTCATGTCATTAGCTGTATCAAGGCAGAAAGAGACATCACATTTACATAGAAAAGGAAATATGCATCATCTTGTATCCAAGAATTAGAAAAATATTCTGTAATTTGATGAACAAATTTAATTTTTGTAGATTTTTGTCATAAAGTAATTTTATTCAGTAATTTATCTTCAAGCTAATTTTGATTATTATTTTTGAAATCATGAGAAAAGTATCGTTATATCCCTAATTTTCACCTTTGAAGACCTTGTTGGTTTCAGATTATATCAGCATGGTGTGGACTTGAGACAATCCATCACATTAAACTATTTATGCTTTTATTTATTT